CATTTGCATTGATTTTCTAAATACTCATCAATCTTTCAACCTTCTCTGCCGACGCAACATAGCAAGCAGAAAAAACAAACAGCAGCTGATAACGATTTACGCCAGTTAACGCTTTAAATTATACAATAATAAATTACCCGCCGCTCCATCCATATGTAACCACTTAGCTACCATAACATATACATGTAATACCGATCTTCAAGTAAAATACTATAGTAACAAAGATGGGCTAAGTCGCGTTTGATCGGCATGTACAGTCGTTTGTTTACATGCATCCGTTGCAGATTAGTTTCTCATACTATCAGATCAAGTGAATCACGATGAGAATACCTACTGATATTTCTTGTGTGGTAAAGATATTTTTTTAGTTCCTAAAGGCGAGGCCACATTTGTTATTTAACAGATACGACAATATTAAAAACTGTTCTTACTCTTAGCGAAACTAAGTTTTCATTTGCGCTTTGTGCACAGTTTTCTTCAGACTGGTCTAAGTAAATAGCAGCAGTAAGGCGAACACATCAACGAGTATCGCCGTATCCTTAGAACACAGGAAAAATCACTAGGCTATTCTTATTATTTGCAATCAAGTAAACTGCTACCCCTCTTCGGCTGACCGCACAATCCTCCTAATGAAGTGAGTTTGTTGTTCCAGGGAATTAGCAGCTAAAAAGGAAATGCACAAACCGTGATTTAACTTTTAGCCAGACACTCTAAAGTGTGAAGTAGCTTATTTAGCCGGTGCGCCATTACTATCTGATATATATATGTTAAGAAGAAAGTAAGAAGATAAGATGAATTAGAAAGAAAATGGCTCAAGAATGTAGATGAGTTTCGGAATTAGCAAAGATCACTTGGAATCATATCCTGACTACAATTAAAAAATTTGGAAGTTAAATTCACCAGGCGTCAAAAATTAGCAGGTCCTACATATTCCGCATAAGCATCCGAACTTAACATGTGGAACAAAACGGGTGAAACAAACAGACATTCAGGCAGAGTTCAACTTTCAAAATGCATGAATAATGTAGTTTTGCAATAAGAATGAATTTGCAGCACTTATGCCACTTTAAATGTTTCTTCCTAACAAAAGCGTTTATAAAGTTAGAAAGCAGCAAACATCACAGATAATTGACATCCGAAAACTAATGTGGCCAGTATCTTGAACAGAAAATAGATAAAACAAAAAACTTATATAATGGATATTCAAAGCAATGATGCCGCAGATCAAAATGGCAAATTTCCTTCATGTGCCTGATAAATGTTTAGAACGAAAGCTTGCATAGTCCTTTAAACGAGCGCTATAGAGGATGAGGTGATATATCAGAAAATGTTTTATAGAGTTATGGATATATTCTCTACGGAAATTAGCGATATTTTTTATTTTTGCAGCAAATTATTACTAGCCGCAGACTTGCGTCTGTTGATCTTACAGTATAATTATTTTTAATTTGAACATGCCGATTATTGTTAGTATTCTGTAGTTGCTACCTTTCGAA